CTGTGAAAAGTGCTATATAAATAAATTGATTTGATTTGATTTGATTTATTTTATGAACTGTCAAATTATTGGTAAAACAGAAAAATGTTCTAGTTCAAACTTTAAACTTTATGTGACTTTTGTAGCTTAACAAGCGTTTTATTCTGTCTTGAAACAACCGAGCCTTCTGCTCAGTTCTTCCAATTTGCGTAAAGATTTCACAGCAGAAATTTTGACATACAGAATACTTTTTAATTCTTAGTCACAAAAGTAAAGAAAATGCTATTTTCACTTAAATATCGTACCACAAAAACCCAAATATAAGAGAATTCTTGAAATGGCACTTAAATTACAAGTTGTTAAATATGTGCAGTTTTCACAGCAAACATTATAAATGTTCGAATTTTCTACCATAAAATTTTATTTATGCAAACTGGAGGCTGCCGAGCAGGAAATGTTCTAAAAATCTGAGACAAAATAATAAGTCTGTCTTTCAGGTCTCTGTGGCAACAACAACAAGGACACCACAGATGACTTCACCAGCAGCAGCGGGATCATCGAGAACTCACCTGAACCTTTTGCGCTGTCCTGGAGCGTGGGCCGTTGTACGCCGAACATACCGCCAACCTGCATTAATACCGACAACGGTATCAATCAGTCATATAAAGTAGACGGTCCTATAAATTCACAGATGAGAAGATGCTTTTATCTTTTGTCTTTAACACACAATTTATACTAAATTGTTTTGCAAAATCATTACTTATTTTAGCATTTGATGCATTTCTGCAGAAATATTTGCTGATGAAAAGTGTTCTGTCTTGAACAACCCAGCTGGGATATTTGCAAAGTGCCACGGCTACATCCCAACTGATCAGTTCCATACGGTAAGATTGTTTTACTACTCAACCAAATCTGAAGAACCTGCTGAAGCTAACTCGTGCTGACATATTGATTTAAAACTTTATAACATGTTGAAAACTTAAACCTGCATTATGCATATAAAATTAAACCAGTTTAAGGCGAACATGCTGATCATACAGATGCATACATTTTTGTTTGACTCATTACCCCGGTGCATATATTTCTACTCTACTCTTCGACCATATTTTTACAGGCTTGCATCCTAAGAACTTGTAACTGCGGTACCAATTTGGTCCAGTGCTTGTGTGTTGCTCTGGGCAACTATGCCAAAGCATGTGCCAGTCTTGGAGTTGAACTTGGTGACTGGAGGAAGGCTACCAACTGCTGTAAGCATTTAAAAATGCAAATATGTTTTCCTTTTACTGCACACGACTTATAGTCTTATGTAGGCAGTTTCTGCCTTGTTTTTGCAGGATGCATTGTATAAGCAGATTATTAAATGTGAATCTAAATATTTTTGTCACAGCACTGACATGTGAAAAGAACCAAGAGTTCTCCTACAATGTGCGAGCTTGCAACCATACATGCCGCTCCCTGTCTGCTCCTGATCCTCGCTGTGGGCAGGAAGACGCTCCCGTGGAGGGCTGTGGCTGCCCAGAAGGAACCCACCTGAACCAAGGACAAATCTGTACACCGAAGACTGAATGTGATTGCCATCATCACGGCGGTATAACGGCACCAGGGCCTGTTGTTATCGATGGACGACAGTGGTGAGTTGATCATTAAAGATTTTTTTAAGGAATTTCAAATTGATCAAATACATTTTGTATCAGCATGAAACTGATGGTGTATGATAAATACAATGGTTCCAGTTTTATTAATCTTATGTTGTGTTTTCAAAAGCAACTGTAAGAATGGAGAGCTGCAGTGCTCCAAGGACTGTGGTAAATATATTATATTTTTGTACTAGACATACATTGCTATATGAGCAAGAGTCACGGCAGTAAACATATTATTATATCAAACTTTCAGAAATATATTTAATGCATGAATTTGTTCGCATCAGGCTGCAGGAATGGAAAGGTGTGCGTGCACTGCTCAGAATACCCAGTTAACACAGCTCAGAAAACTTGCGACAGTCTCAGCAAACCACTGGTATGTATATTTATAATTATTACCATTTGTATTTAAATGTGGCTTCATCTTTAGTTATTAGAATAAACACGTGAGCTCCTCACAAAGGTGTAATTTTCAGGTTGGTGTGATTTTCAGGTTGCCAGTGTGACTTGTGAGAGTGGCTGTTACTGCCCACATGATCAATATGAAGATCACCATGGAAACTGTGTATCACGGGACAACTGCACCTGTGTGTACAGTGGGAAAGTCTTCAGGGCAGGAGAGACTGTTAAAACCAACTGTAAAAAATGGTAACGCTACTTTACCGGTTCAGTCGCCAAGTTTTGTTTTTCTGTAAACTCAGTGTTATGACTTTATCTTACAGTGTCTGTGGTCAGGGTCAGTGGGACTGCACAGACGAGCCGTGTCCCGGGACATGTCAAGTCTATGGAAATGGACATTATCAGACCTTTGACGCTAAATGGTATCGATTTGGTGGTCACTGCCAGTATACACTTGTAGAGGTGAGAGTCAGAAAAATCAAAAATCATGAATATGTTCACATGCATGATATAAAATTTATATATAATGTAGATAACTACATTATAACTACAACAAAATGCATGATTTTTGATATACAATAAGAAAGTTTTAACCATGCTTTTCGATTTCAGGATTACTGCAGAAGTCAAAACGGCACCTTTTCTCTCCGAGTGGAGAGTGTGCCCTGCTGTGATGAGGCACTCACCTGTTCACGCTCCATCATACTGGACTTGCAGGTAAGTGGCTCTATCCCTAAATATTCCTTGACCTTTATTTGGTGGTCATGTTATGCTAATCTTTATTAGTGTATTTTTGGTCTTACTTAGAAATGATCAAACTCAGTCAAAGGATGGTTATTTACTCAAGTCGTTCATGAATCATGGAACATAAGATGCTGCAGAATTAATGGCGTGCATTATGAGGTAGCTGCCCATATACCAGTAAACTAATCCCTTATCTTGTTCTTCTATCTTGCTCTTCCAGAGCAAAGTCACCCTTATCCTGAATGACATGAGAGTGACCAAGCAAATCCAAAAAGGCTGGACTTTGCAGCAAGATCCACTTTACACAATACACACAGTGGGACTCTATATCATAATCTCAGTGCCCAGCAAAGGTCTAACTCTAATATGGGACAAACACACCCGGATCACCGTAGAACTTCATCCAGACTGGAGGGTGAGTAATAAAAATGCTAAGAAGGATTTTAAACAGGACCATTCTTGTGTAGTAGAGCAGCGGTCGCCATTCCCCGGGCCTCGGACCGGTACCGGTCCGTGAGTCGTTTGGTACCGGGCCGCGAGAGTTGAGGCTCAGGTGTGAAATGTATAGTTTTCAGGGTTTTTATCGGTTTTCAGCGTTATTTTGTTGTCGTTTTTATCGTTTACTCGGTTTTCCTTGGTCTTTTCACGTGTGTTATGAATAAATTTTCTTTTTTTTGGTAGTTTTATTTTGTTGTATTTATCCGCGACACCTTAAAGGCCGGTCCATGAAAATATTGTAGGGCATAAACCGGTCCGTGGCGCAAAAAAGGTTGGAGACCGCTGTAGTAGAATAGTGTTATCCTCACTATAAAGCTTGAAAAGGAGAGAAGTAGAATTCAAAGATGCAGAACTGAATTAATAACATATCCACTGTGTACTTTTTAATACTCATTTTCTTTTTCAAACCGTCTCCCCTGCAGAACAGAGTGTGTGGCCTCTGTGGGAATTTTGACTCCAATGAGCTGAATGACTTGCAGATAAGTGGCTCAGCAGGTAAACCAGTCAGTTTTTTCTCCTTTTTTTGCTAGGCGTGGTGTCTTTGCAGTGACACCAACACTTTACCTGTGACACTCAAACTAAAAACAAAACTCTGTTCTTAGTGGTTTCTAGTCCAATGGCCTTTGGCAACAGCTGGAAGGCAGCAACTCCCCCTTGTACTGATGTGACCACTGAGATATTTCCATGTGAACGCAATTCCTACTGCTCGGCCTGGGCCCAGAGGCGCTGTATGATCCTTAAAGGAGGCACCTTCAAAGACTGTCACTTGAAAGTATGTTCTTCACATTGCACACAAGTTGCTTGTGCTTGCTTAAAAATAACTACTTTTTAAGCAGAGTCGCAAAGAGAGGATTGGGACTTTTATTTTGTATACGGTGAAAATTTGATACCAGTGTTGCTGTCAAAATGTATTAGATTACAGTTTCTCTTTTAAATTTAATAAGCATTGCAGCTATTTTGATTAACCTATTGAAGTGATAACATTTCTTGCTTTTACTTTCCTAACAAATATTTTTAAACTGGGCAAAAAAAGAGAAAAAACCCTCCTCCACAGCTTTTTGATAACAATTGTAATGCAAACATTATAATCATTTTTGAGTTCCTAGACTTAAAAGGCATTTCTAGGTGCAGCAAGGAAAACACTTTTGTGCACATGGATGTCCAGAAGCACTGCTTAGGGCAATGAAAACTAGTAGATGAAAGGGAGCACAAATTAAAAAACAATGCTCAACATCAACAAACTGTGAACAAAAAGGAGCTTGTCTAGACCTTTAAGGCATCAGCATCCAGCCTTTGATGGTGTTGCATTGAAATTTGTTCCAAAACATGCCCCTTAAAAAGGCATGTTATTATGCACATAAACTTTTCACGAGAATTTATAATATACTTTGTGAATAAAGGTTCTGAGCCACCCACACATTACAACAACCATGGAAAGCCACGTGATATAAGTTTTTGTGCTAATGTTAATGCCAGTAAAAGCTAAACATTACATCTGCATTTTTGTTGTGATTGAAGTACAACTTGCAGTCAGGTACTTCCCAACTCTGATGTTTACTGATCCTCAGGTGGATCCAGAGCCCTACTACCATGCCTGTGTGCAGGAATCCTGCTCTTGTGAGTTTGAAGGGAAATTCCTGGGTTTCTGCACAGCTGTGGCAGCTTATGCAGAGGCCTGCAGTGACCAGGACGTCTGCATAGATTGGAGGACACCTGATATGTGCCGTAAGTTTTAAGTTTTTACCCCACATAAGGTGTGCATGTCGTCAGCCAATCATCAGTCCAGCTTATATAAATTCTTTTCTGTGCTTCAGTTCTTGACAACACACACCCTGCATTGCTTAATGTTAAATTTAGTTATATTTTATTGTATTTTAGCTATTGTCAATATACTCATGAGCGACAATAGATATGGCACTATCAAAGGATATATACAACAATCTGCATGATGAGATCAATGTTTTTTGAAGGTTACAAAACACTGAATA